GATTTTACAACATTAATGTTAATGTGACATTTCCTCTGTAACCTGTCGAAAAAATATATTGCCAGCTTTTACAAGTAAAATGCCAATTATGGGCTCATTAGCCGGCAGATCACATCCAGACAAAGGGGTTTTTTTTGAAGATAGCGCTGCTGATATTTTCATTTCCTCTTTTGAAAATGATATTTCCTATTCATGATTGGAGGTACCAAAGGAGAGATAAAGCCTTTTTTGTTGTGGAAGAACAATAGCTGAATCTCCTAAGGTATGTGTGGAACTGTAGAATAAAGCCATACAAGCGAAGTCATGTTTTAGGCAGAATCAGTATAAGGCAGAAAGGGCCTTTTTTCACCCATAACTTAAAAGTTCCACTAAACCTTAAGTATAATCTTATAATCTGTAATCTGGTGGTTCTCTCAGCTTGGCTCACTGGGAGTTTTCTTTTTTGGCCCCTGGAGAGCTTCAGGGGTTCGGGATATAAACTCAAGTTCAATGGCGACTTTCCCGGAGTACTGTAAGTCCAGCTTGGAGCTGGAATGGGGAGGAGGTGACGACGTGGGCGGCCCGCGGTGACCGTGTCCTCTGAAGGTGAGCGCCGGGGAGCGATTTCCTCTGCCAGCCCACCTAAGCGCGGCAGCCTGGCCGTTTCGTTATTAATCGCCCCAAACAGCTTGTCTACATGGTCGCCGGTGCCCCCACTGTTTTCCTATTGATCTCTAGCTTTATGTTTAATGAAAACAGCGGATTAAATAAAAGTCTCTTGGCCTTGTACTGCCCGCCCCAGCCTGACTTTCATTTCTTCCCTTCTTTCTGAGTTTATGCCATGGTCCATGCTATACATTTTTAGCTTTCGTTTGTTCGTTTTCTTCCCCCATATCCATGTGATGTTGACTACGGCGCTTATTTCGAGTCGGGGGGGGGGGGAGCGATGCCATTGGATGGAGATTGGGTGGTGGGGGGAACTCTGGAAGGAGACTATGAGCTGTATGAGGAGCCGATGAACTGTGAAGGATATAGGGGGGGTTACTGGCCTGGAAGGAACTTATCTGTCAGCCACTGAGAGGCCTTGATTGATGGGCCCCAGCTGTAATTAACACAGAACTGAGAGTCTGACAGCCAGACTCACACCTCCGTTCTTACCTGGAAACAGAGAGAGCACCATCAGTAGGTGTCCTGTGATCTGTCCTCATGCAGAAACAGCTTCTGATGAAACTTGTTAAAACCAGAACAATGGAGTAATATGCATTACTTTCTGTCAGTCTGAAAGCAAACATGCTGCATGTCTGCGGTCTGCTGGTGTTTCATTCAAATAATACTAAAATATTATTTTGTCTGTATAGTTTTGTTCATTAAAAATGATATTAGTAGCGCTGACACCAAGGGAATGGTTATTAAGCTACTATAATTAAGTTGCCCTTTGTGAATTAACTCATGTTAACACTGATGCTGCTCTCATGCTGTTGGGTGTCACGTTGTGAGACGGGTAATTGTCAACACGTTCCCTCCCCCCGTGATTCGTAATGTAGTTTTTGGAATCCCGCTGAAATCGACTGGGCTTTTTTGACCCTCCGAAGGACCCAGTTTGGCGAAAAGGGCCGTGCACATGGGATGCACATTTTTTAATTCGTAAGAAAGTGCATGGAAGCTCTACCCTTTCTTTGCTAGCGTGTAAAGCACAGAGCTCGTTTCCAGCAGCGCGGCTCTCGGAGTGCTGACAGGTGTCGTCTGAGACCTCCAGCAGATGGTGGCAAACAAAAACGTGTGAAGAATTTAAGAAATAGACATGGCTGGCTGCCCCTGGAGACCCTCCCCACCGCTGCAACGGGGAGTGGTGGTACGGGAACCACGAGACCTTGCTGCCCGTGTGACCTTGCTGCCCATGTGACCTTGCTGCCCGTGTGACCTTGCTGCCCGTGTGACTCATGCTTTTACCTGATCCTCTCATCACACTTGAGTGCCGTGAACAGACGAAATCAATGCAGGGACTTCGGAGGTGGGGTAAGAATATCACCAGGCTGTAATATTCTGAATTCCCCGCCCCGAGAACTGGAAAACAATGACCGTCTGAGTACCGTAATATATTTTGTTCCTTTAAGGCGCCTGTCACTTTAATCACACAAAACAAACTTCTTGACACACACGGGGAATATCCCAGGCATCCAAGGAGGAATCGCCCATGTACGAAGGACCGGTTATTTGGGGGAGAAGGACAGAGCTACCACCCCAAGGTGTGGACTGATATGCTCATAGTCCTTGATGCTATACCACTAGTTTTACATTCACCTTACCAGCAGACAGCTGCATCCCTCACATTTGCAATCTGAATCACCAGCTTATACTTAGTTATTCACAATCACTTTGTTTTAGCATTTTTGACTGGATAACTGGAGCAATTCAGATTTCAAAAGAATGGCTCCAGTCACTTGCTTTCAACGCTTTGACCTCCAGGGTAACGGTTCATGGCGACTACATAACCCAGTGCCCCTAGTTTCTGTTCATTTTGCGTGACCCGTCTGGATTTCTTAAGTACTGTACGTATGAGTACGACAGAACTAACGTAACAGTATGAAGGAGTATAGCAGGAGGATTTTCCCCCCCCAGAATGCACAGGGAGTGAGTGCCCACAGGGAGTCGTTAGCACGGCTGCCCAGTATGGAACTGGTATCTTGGTGTGCATTAAAGCAGGTGGATGATTAGGAGTGACAGGGCCACGCAGGGTCATGGGGGTGTAAATCCCTCCAGGGCTCATTCTGCCATTAACACACAGCGGCAAGTTCGTAGTGGATGCCCTCCTCACCCCTGAGCTATGGCGACCGTGCATGCATGCACGCGTATGCGTTTGTGTGTGTGTGATGAAGGGAATGTGGAAGGGAAGGAGAGCAAATGACAGGCGGCACACTCTCACACTCTAGCTCCTCTCTATCAGAGATAAATAATCAAAGTGATCGAGACCACTGCACTGACACCGACGAGAAAACAAACCCCGCTCGCAAATCGATGGCACGTAACATCGGCAAGTCGGCAGGACGGCGGTGACAAAGCGGCCGAGGGGTGACTAAGCAGACAGTAGCGAGGGCTTATCTAAATTAACATCAGCCGGCAGGACAAGGGATAAGCCGGCCTCCGCCTGCTAATTAGCAACGTTTGACTTTTCAATTATTCTTCCATGTGTATCTTAGTTCTACGTTCTTTCTTTTTCTTTTTTCTTTTAATTAGCATGAACACAGCATCATGCTGCAGGGGTCCCGAGTACAGGGAGCGTCCAGCAGTGCCTGAAGTGAGAAAAACAGGTGCCTATCATGCCCCTCGTTATTCAGCACCGGCAGATTATTAGAGGTGCTGGTACGCATGAAACATTCCTGGTACCCTGAAGAGAAAAACTATGAGGTGCCGGTACTGTGCACCAGTTAGTTCTGGCCCATTTCAAGCATTGACTTCCACCTAATGACAAGAGAGAGAGAGAAAATAATAAGCCTACAGAGGAAGTTTCATACAATGTAAGATGTACATATCTCCATCTTCAAACCAAATATCTTGGTTAAGGTCTCAGAAGGCCCAGAGTCTATCCCAGGTACACCCAGGACAGGATGTCGGTCCAGCACAGGCCACACACACACACACAATCATACTCTATGGACAATTTAGAGACCCAAGAGCATGTCTTTTGGACTGCAGGGGGAAAACAGAGTACCTGGAGGAAATATACCAGGCACAGGGAGATCATGCAAACTCCACCCGCTCAACTGGGGAAGACAGAAGGAACATATATGCGTTAATGGTCTAACATTTATATTTCTTAAATATCAAGCTCCAAAAACTCCAAAACTGTACTCTGTACTGCCTCTGAAGGCAGTAGCATTACCAGGACACCATCCTGATTCTTATTCTTCTGATTACATGAGGATAAATTGCTTTGTAGAATAAATGCTATTAGAATAGCTGAAAGCACCATGGTAACTATTACTCAGGTAACAGGTTCCCCGTTTAAAAAAAGATTTTCATACAAGTGAGTTAATGTTACCTTTTTCGGCAGTCCTGCTTAGGGCTCCCCATCAGGCAAAGCTCTTCCGGAAGCTTCCCCAAGTTCTAGGCCGAGGCTCTGGGTCGCCTCTGCGGCCCCCATTTATAGGCACTCAAGTCAGCCTGAAAATCGGCATTAATGTGAGAGACTTGCTGTCATGCCGCAGCTGTCAGCCCACGCGCTTGGAGCGCGGTTCGGACAGCAAATGCCCTGTTACGGGGTTGCCAGCTACCCTGCGGGGTCCTAATCGACACAGGGCCCCCCCACGGCGGCCTTCTTCATGGATGAACTGCTGCCATTTGAAGCAGGACACCAGGCGATCGAGGTCAAGCTGGAATCGGTTCTGCAGGCTCTCTCAGTATGGGGGGTGGGGGGCTCGCAGGTTTAAGAAGTGTGTGAATCACTTTTTTCCTGAAGATACAATTTAGAGTAATGGACAGGGGATTCAGCTCACAGGTCAAGTCCTTTCATCTAAAATGCTCATCCATGATGTTATATGGTGGAACTGGCCTGTCGGACCGTTTGCCAGCTACACCTCCGGCCTGTCGGACCGTTTGCCGGCTACACCTCCGGCCTGTCGGACCGTTTGCCGGCTACACCTCCGGCCTGTCGGACCGTTTGCCGGCTACACCTCCGGCCTGTCGGACCGTTTGCCGGCTACACCTCCGGCCTGTAGGACCGTTTGCCGGCTACACCTCCGGCCTATAGGACCGTTTGCCGGCTACATTTCCAGACCGTAGTGCCATTTTCTAGGCTGAGGGCCTATCAGATGTTTACCAGGCTTGCTATGGTTGTAACACCAACTAGGGCAAGTGTCACTCTGACTTTAACACTCTGAGAATACCCCCCTCCCCCCACATCTACACAAACAAATGCATAGCCAAAAATCAACCATAAACAGCATGGTTAAAGACCAACGATAGTGACCGAAAGACTGCAAAAGTAAAGGTTGAAATCTGAGGAATACAAAACATTACAGATATTAAAGGCACAAATTGCATTTTAATAGAAAAGGATACAATACAAATGTCAATCACTTCAGCAGGGTTATCTCAGAAGCATCGCAAAACATTAAAGCCACTGCAAATTACAGACATGGAGCGTTTATGGCCATGGCTGTCACAAGGATGTAAATGTGGACGCTGTAAAAGACGCACTTGAGAAATCTTAGGAAGGCTTCAGCTGGAAATCACCCTATTTGATGGTTAAGGTAAGAGCCAGACGCGTCCCACCGCTCAGAGGCATGATCAGAACACCCACATGGGGCTCCTGTAACAAGACCCTGAGCTTCTGTAAACCGTGGAAGACACGCAGGCTTCAGTGGTTACCTGAGAATTACAGTAACTGGAGTGTCTGCCCCAACTGCTGTCTGCATATAAATGGGCTTTTCAGCTTCATGAGTATATGCCAATTCAGCATAGATTAATAGAGCCACACCTGCTTAGGGAAAAATAAAAGTTTACTGTCAAACACTGTAGTGCTCCATATTTAATGTCAAGCACCGTGATGGTGCCATGACCCTCTCACCTCCGGAGTGCTAAGCTTCTAAAGTAATGTGCACACATAAGATGAGCTTCTGATCTCGGGGATGCGAGTAAATCTGAGCACACTCTCCACACAGTCACTGTTAAAATTCAAACGCCCCACTAGAAAGTCTATATTGTGATCAATCACAACATTAACACCTTTATTAAAAGATGCATAAAAGTGTGGGACTCTCCCTTGAGTCGTACTACAAACCACAGGCTAAAGTGCCAAACAATGAAGATGTAATGAGTTCACAACTCAATAGACCTATTCCTACTGACAAGCAAGTATGACTCATACGATGCTGACGATGACTGACAATGAATAATGTTAACGACAAATTCCATCATTAATGTCCTTGTGTTAGATCTTTATCTGCTTTCATAATTATAATTTTTAACCTTGAAATTATTGTTTTTTATTCTGCTATTAATGTTTGCATTTTAAATGCTCTATCCAGACCGGGCTTTTTAGACAGATAATTAATCCTTTACAAAGTGCAGGTGTCTCCATTGTAAACAGTGTGATTATCACTATGGTGACACATTCATTTGTTAAAGCCCTGAACCCAGGTGCATGAAAAACCACCAGGCAGATGCAGGTAGGAGCTGAAGAAAAGGAAAGCCGTCTAGCAGATCGAAGCTGCGTGTTGGTGCTGAACTCAGGAACAGCAACAAGATGACCAAGTCCTTCGACATCTTTCAAAGCAGCTCCATTCAAACGGAAGGGAGATGATATACACAAAATCTCACATATGCAAAAACTGTACAAAAAAAAATAGTCAATAGGCTGACATTAGATGTCAGGGTATCCACTTTCCTGAACACACACTTTGTATAAGCCACTAGTAGCATGAAATAAAACCTATTCCCTTAAATAAATCGTATATATACATAAAACATTTCTTTACACAAAAAGTTACGGGTATTCCATGTAAACCACCATCTACATTACTTACATAAGATAGGTGGTATTTGGCTGTTTTGATTGAGTTAACCGAGAAAGGAAGCAAATACTTAAGTGTATTAGTTGTACAAACATAAAAGGAACCCTTCAGTCGCAGTGCTTATTTATCAGAGGAGACAAGGGACGCACAAAGCCATGACATCTACCAGAGGAGTGGTCTAGTCCACCACCATCGTTACACACTGTCACACAACCTACATTAATATGAGAAAATCCAGGACCCATATTCTTAAATAATACATATAAATATAAAAATCTCATTAAAAAATACATCAAGTGTGCAATAATATTTAAGATGCCTCTTCTCTAAGAATTAATATGGTAAAACGAATTATTTAAAATTCTGTAATTCATTAAAAGCCAAGAGTAAATTTAGGGGAGTCATCTTAAAATGAGGTATTCATACTCGTAATATGTATAATATTCAAGAACATAAATCACGCTGTTCTCATATTTGCTCTCAGGATAAATAGTCATACCTTAGTCATTAATTCTGGTGTTACACACAGAAGCAGGACTGCAAAAGCGTAAAAGAAGAAAGAAAAAAAAAAAAAGCACAGTTGGAAGCCCCCAATCCGTGAGGGAGATATTTGGCCGGGTCAGGAGGGCGTGGCTGCTCCGTGCTTCAGGCTTCCAGAGCGAGCTCTCTGCTGCTCGTACCTCACAGACACGATGAGGAAAAGGAGCAGCGTCGCCCCCTGGATGCCAGCCAGCAGGAAGAAATAGTAATGCAGGGAGCAGTCGTTGATGTTGCCTGGGGGAGGAAGAACAGATGAGAGGGTAAATGAAGGGGGCTGTTCTGTGACAGAGAGCAGCTCCAGTCAAATCAACGAAGCGGGCGTCAGTGTCAGACTGAGCTGGGTTCCCACACTAGGAAGGGTAAAGTACCATAAGCCCGTCTTGAGAAATGAAGACTTCACAGAAAACTGTGGGGGAATTCACTAACAGAAACATATAAATGCTTCAAGCGCCCAAACATCTCAAAAGCCATGACGGATTAAGAGCCTCCTCTCATTTTGTGATATTTATTGCATGTCAGGGTGACTGTGAGTACTCTACAGCATCCTCCCCAAAAGCCTTAATAACATTCAGAGTCCAAAAAGGAACAGTCATCCCAGCAAACACTTTTGCCACGCTTTTGGAATACAAAAAAAACTGCTCCAGTGAAGCAACAGTGCAAGGAATCCATAAGTGTGTGGATTCGGCCCCGACAAGACAGGCCTTTATTAGATTGAAGGTGGAGGGTGGATGAGAGAGTCCTTCCACCCCGGTCTTGAATTTTAAAGCTAGCAGTGCCATTCCCTCCTTGCCCTAAACAGAATTTAAATGTGGGCGGAGCTGAATCTCCCACCATAAGATGCCAGAGACAGAGAGCTACGGCTGGATTTGTTGTTGTGATCACATGTCCCAGCCCCTGAAACAGCAGCCAAAGCGAAGCTTAGGAACAGATCTACTGCTCCATCACTCAGCCGTTGCCATGTTTTCTCTCAGTTTTAGGAATAGGCCGACTGGTCCATCACTGAGCCGACGCTGTGTTTTACTGAAGGGCTCCATCTAGAAAGCAGAGGGACCCATCACACCTTAAAGTAGAACAGAGAAAAAGAAGCATTTGTTTGCAGGTGCAGTAGGAGCCTTCAAAATGATGAGAAGCTGGAGAAGCACACTGTCAACAGGGTTTGTCTATTAAAGCCCACCCAGGGGATTAGCAAGCCTGTGTGCAGCACACTGGGGGGGGGGGGGGGTTGGTTTAATTGGCAATCCCCAGAGAAGGAACGGAGTCGCCCGGATGGCGAGAAGGGGATCAAAAACTCGCAACTGCTAATTATGCCTTTTCTAATTCCTAATTATACCTAATCACTGCAGGAGAGGCAACTCAGGATGGACCCGCCACTAATAACACCCCCCACCCTCAAAGTGTGACCAACCTGGGGACTGTGCCACATGCTCATGTCCCAGCGAGCATCACAGTCAAATAAAGACTGTCCCCATGACCCAGACTAGCGTTCAGGCAGGACCAGGATATTCTAAATCAGGCCAGTCATTTAGTTCCGCAGGCTCCCTCCTTCAGGTCACAAAACTGTTTGGGTTCTTATGATGATGGTGACCTATCACGAGATTTACTCCCCACAAATAATTATACTTAATGTTTGCTCCTTAGTAATGCAGCAAGTAACTCAACATGGTTGTAGCCTTTCCATTCTATATTTGGCCAGAGAGACTCCAGTCAAGGAAAGGCATAGAATCCCAGAGCAGAACAACAATGCTCACAAGGCACCCTGGGAACTGAGGAAGCACTGGACTGAGACAAACCCTTTATATAACAAAGCACTTTCCAGGAGGAGTCACTAATACCCCCACAGGGTACACCCCATAAGCTAACGCTAACATGCATCACTAATAAACCTTAATGTCACACTACTGGCCGCTCACTTGTAAGCTAATTTGATTCAGTGTAGAGCCAGCGGACTTACGGCCTGAAATGATATCTGGACACTCTGAGAAACAATGCACTCTGAAATGATGAAAGTTCATCTGCATAATCCTTGGGCTGCTGTCTGCAGCAGGCACTCCGCTACAGCGCTGCCATAATTACCTCCTCAATAAAGCCTTATTTCGCAGGACGACTCAACGGCTCGCGGCTTCTTCAGTGAAGAAAAAAAAAAACCAGCTACGAAGTCCCTAGAGAAGCACACATATATATTCATATAGGCCACTCTGAGGGGCAAACCTGTTTTATCGGACCGCAGCAGAGACGATTTGATTTTCGTCTTCAAAACGTCCACAGGTCTCTGGTCCCCCGAAGGGACTGTGGAGGCATGAGCTGCGTTTCAGAAACACTGGTGTAACTACAGCATTGACGCAACAACCAATGACTGACAGTGACAAAAGTCACTGTGGTCGCTCTGTTAGTGACCTGAGCCAGGTACAGATGCAGGGACGGTGTCACTATCCTACAGGTTTTTTGTGAATCCTATAAAGAGTGATATGTGGTGGAAAAAACACCCTCTGCCCTGGAAAAGTGTCACAGAGGACAATCGCTTAAGGATCCAACAACTTTATTACACTGACAGCCGAGTCTTGTCTGTACAGGAATCCTGCTATAACATCTAACATGTCTGCAAAGACAAATACGAGCTTATTAAACTGCCAAAAAATAATAACGATAATGATAAAAATGACAAGGAAAGTAGCTGTTGAGTTAGTCTGAAAATGGATGTGATGGGAAGGATTGATATCAGATGCTCATATGCTTTTACGACTGCTGCTTATAAATGAATAATAATACGAACGATTTCTCTTGAGCCTGTTTGGGAGGCTGCTTGTCAACTGGGAAATATGCTGCATACATGCGTCAGACGCACATCAAATGCAGCCTGGGCTCACGTGGCAGCAGGTGTGCGCTCCCCCAGGGCCCCGACACACGCCACATGCGGGGCCGCCACGTGCTGCGGGGCCCCATTAACACGGACCCAGAAACATTTTAACCCATTTCCCGACACGCTTGGCAAGCTCACTACGCCACTTCAAATTCATCTCCCGTAACCAGGATATGATTAAGATTTAACTAGGAGACCAAAGCAAAAATGTGAAGGACCCCCCTGCCCCCCCTCTACCACCTGAATAATGCATAAGGAATAAAACAGCGTGCTCAGCGGGACGCCGATAAACACGCCGCGGGCCTGCTTGTATTTCAAATCGATAACGCCCTGAAACTGGTGCGTCGCAGGGGAGAGCGTGGTGGTGGTCTTAATTAACAGGGAGGACGCAGATTCGGGGATGGAGGGTGGGGGTGCTACTGCTTAACCGCGATTTAGTAGTACAGAGATAAAGTGTGAGAAACAGACAGCGGCCATAACTGCGCTTGGTAGTTGCCCGGCGCAGACCCCGAATGGCAGCCAGACAATGAAGAAGCGAGGCAGCATCACGGGCAGCGCTCAGGAACACGGCTGGGGAAGCGCGCGGAGGGGCCGGCCGCTCACTACAGAGCTCATTACATTTTAGCGGCGGGGGCTGCATGACTGTTTGGAGCCCCTCCTCACCCACTTAACAGCCCCGAAAGGCATAACGAGGACTTGCTATAAAATCCATTAAAGGAGCCCATAAATATGTGGCAAGTATTTAAGAGGCAAATGCTGGAGGAAGGGGGGGGGGGCAGAACTGAATCAATACAAGAGAGTGCGGTGTACAGATGGGGGCGAGAGGAAGAATCTTATTTTCTCCCTGTGTCACCTTCCTTTGACCTGTGTCAGGCCTGCGAATGTGCATCACTGGGGGGGGATGATTAATCCCCAGAGCAGCAGCGCTGGGCGGTACCTCCATGTGTATTCAGGCTGGCACAGCCCACCCACATAACCCCGGGGGGGAGCTGGATGAGCGCCAGTACCATTAATAAGCTCTATAACAGCCTCTCGTCACACCTTGGCGTTTAGCGGAAGCTGTTGTGGGCGCCCCACTGACAAGACCATTATATATCTGCTGTGTCCGCTGGATGTAAAATATATGAGCCTTAAAAATTTACAATGCAGCTCAGCCCAAAGCACATGAGCAGTTGTCACTGAAACACCCCCAGGCTTGGGCAGTGTTGCGGTATTATGGTATACCGCTGTATTATGGTATGCCGTGGTATTTTGAAATCTTGCCGATAAAATACCATATATCATGGTATGATTTCTGGATTGTATGATGGTATGAAAAATTAGATACTGCACAAGCCGAGACCGTATGTCCAATAACTAATAGCTATGCAGGTCTAAATAAGCTGACCATATCTTTCTTTTTGTTCACCGTATAGTAGCATCAGAACATAAATCTAAGAGTTTTATGAACAAAAGTGCCACCGTAAAAGACCACACCTCCTATGTGCCAAGGGGCCAATCAGCAGTGAAGACCCTCCCACTCACTATCAAAACAGATAAACATAAAACAACAGAAAAACAAATAAATTATGGTAGGGGTGGGGGTGTTGTAACCCACCCAATCAAAACCGGCCAATAAAACCCCCCAGTAATCATGTCTCCCCTTAAATGGGTAGACCTCAACCTCACCAATGTTCAAACCAAAGTTACACCCTTGATGTCAAAGGCTCACTCAGACAGCAAAAGCATAGCAGGACGTCTGGTAAACATCCAGGAATTCTACGACAGCGATATTAATTAAGGCGGCATAAAATGCATATCATGACCCTTTATACGAGACTCTGCAATTAACTGTATGACAAGTGTAGCATGTAAACTGCAGACATGTAGATAATCTCATCTTTACTTGCTGCTACTACGTTTGGCGTTCCACACTCCAGGGAAATCACAGTACATACTAAAACAAGCACAACTGAAGTCTATCAGCTACCAGATCCGGATTTACAAAGAAACTAAACATATCGATCCTGGTAAATGTAAGTAGTAGAGGCGTTACAAAATTTTAATCATCCTGTCCAGTGGTTAGGAGGCTAAATCCTTAGAGGAGCTATTTTGTATAAATTATTTATACTGAATGTGGTACTAGCCGTGAAGCCATGCCATTTTTAAAAAAGAAACCCAGACTGAGTTTTATAGAAGTGCAATAGTAAGGCACCTTACCCTGGGTAATAAATAACAGCAGCAGCCATCATGGAAATTAGTGCAGATAAGAGACCCCATAGCTTAAGGCTCATTTCCATAAGGAGTTTTCGGTTATACCTTTGTGAAGGCAGAACTTGTTTGTCCAAATATACAAATGTATTTTCTATAAAAAGTGTGGAATACTTCCTAAAAAACATACTGGAAAAGAAAGCAGCTGTATTTTACTAAAAATGAATTTAATGATGTAGCTGGAATGTGACTGAGGGCTGAGGCATTCTATGGCGCCTGAACCTCACAGCGGAGTCAGGCTCATTCAGCCTCGGACAATGTTTTGCCCAAGAGCATGAACAGGAAGACAGATGGTGTGGTGTGTGGCTTGATGGGTCGGGGCTCCGTCCCCGTGATCGGAAGGATGCTGGTTCAAATCCCATGACTGGCAGAGTTTTTACTGTTTTATTGTTGAGGCCCTTAACCCAGTTACTCCAGGCACTGGTGCTCTCAAACAAAAGCGCCTGCCAATTACATAAATGAAGAATGTAAGACCCCAGACCCAAGGACAGCCCTTCACTGGCGCCGAGATGAGGCTACAGCCGGGGGGCCCCAGCTTCCCCTCTGCTGTTCCCCTCCACCTGCATGCGCCATAACCAGAAGCCCGACCATGCACTGCAAGCACTCAGGGATATGAAGGGGGTGGCTGCTGGGGGCCCCGTGAAAACAGACAGCTCTATTAGCGCTTACAAAAAGCGGATGGATAAATGCATTCACTCCAAATCTGACAGCGTATCAAATGATTATGCTGTACTGGAATCTAAGGACTGGGTCAAAAGGATGAACTAGAGTGACAGGTCCAAAACACTGATCATCAGCACATCTGGGTGCTTATCCCCCCTCCCTCCCTCCCCGAGGGGAATAAACAAGCTGGCAACATTTAGTAAACAAAATGCTCCCTTGGGCCCGGTGAGCAGAGTAATGGAGCCGCATTGAGCTTCTCCCAGCTAATCAAAAACCGCCAAGGGTCCAATGGTGCGGCGCATTAACGAGCCATTAGGGGCGGCGAAAGAGAAGCACTGTTATTTACCACAGCCCTGCCGTATGGGGAACCAGGGCCCCCGTCCCGAGCTCAGCAGGCGAGAGGCATCCGTCTGACGCCGGAAAGGCCACCGTTCACCGCTCGGACAGATTTACACACACCTGCGTCCTTAGCTTGACAGCACTATTTATCATTACTCACTCTTAAAACAAAACTGACTGCTAGAGGCATTTTTGTTCAGGTTTTTCCTGGTCTGTTCACAACAGCCAGATAAAATGTATAAACTAAAGTGGAATTTAAATCAAATGTCAATTCATATGACAGATCGTCAAACATTAACTCCTTAAATGCCTGGTGCTGTGAAGAACCCAGGACAATTTAAACTGCACCCTCACAATAACTCTCTGGATGCAAGATAAGACAAACAGCTTGGGTGATATTTTGGGAATGGGGGATTATAAAGGCCTTCCCTGTAGACAGACAGAAGCCTTTTCCTTTGCTTACAGGGCACGAGTCTAATCTGGGCCGGAGGGACTGGCGATCTGTACCGAGACCAGCGGTTCTCATAACTGTTCCCTCCTAGCCAACCTCCATGCTGAAGTGCCCTCACACACTGGCAGCTTGGGGTCTCCTCTGTGAAGGCGGCACAGGTCAATAGTGGAGGGCCAATAAAACAGAGGGGCTGCCTATCATGTGGGGTAGGGGTGGGGGGTGCCATCCATTTTCCCAATGCCGTATGTCCAGAAAGCCTGGCTATAA